ATTTCCTGTATTTCTTATTTCCCAGTTGCATGTGAAAACATTTTTTTAAAACTTTGAGTTCCAAATTTTCTCCCTCCCTCCCCACCCACCCTCATTGAAAAGGCAAGCAACTCAATATAGGTTATACATGTGTAGTTATGCAAAACACTTCCATAGTAGACATGTTGTAAAAAACTAACTCTATTTCCCTTAATCCTATCCTGCCCTCCCATTTATTCTATTCTTTCTTTTGACCCTGTCCCTCCTCAGAAGTATTTGCTTCTGATTGCCCTCTTTCCCAATCTGCCCTCCTCTCTATCACCCCCTGCTCTCTTGTCCCCATCTCCCCCTATTTTCCTGTAGGGTAAGACAGATTTCCATACCCAATTGAACATGTATGTTATTCTCTCCTTAAGCCAAATCCTATGAGAATAAAATTCCCTCATTCCCTCTCACCTTCCCCTGTTTCCCCTCCACTGTGAGAGACTTTTGTTTTCTGTTTTTTTGTGTGAGATAATTTACCCCATTCTACCTCTCCCTTTCTTCTCTGAGTATCATCCTCTCTCATACCTTAATTTTATTCTCCAGATATGACCCCTTAATCTTCAACTTACCCTGTGCCCTCTATCTATCTATCTATATATACATACATACAATTTTTTCCTTCAACTACCCTAATACTGACAAAGTTCTCATGAGTTACAAATATCATCTTTCCATGCAGGAATGTAAACAGTTCAATCTTATTAAGTCTCTTATGATTTCTCTTTCCTGTTTACCTCTTCATGTTCCACTTGAGTCCTGTATGTGAAAGTCAAATTTTCTATTCAGCTATGGTCTTTTCATCAGGAATGCTTGAAAGTCCTCTATTTCACTGAATGACCATTTTTTTCCCCTGAAGGATTATACTCAGTTTTGCTGGGTAGGTGATTCTTGGTTGTAATCCTTCTCCTTTGCCCTCCGAATATTATATTCCATGCCCTGCGGTCCTTTAATGTAGAAGCTGCTAAATCTTGTGTTATCCTGATTGTGTTTCCAGTATACTTGAATTGTTTCCTTCTGGCAGCTTGTAATATTTTCTCCTTGACCTGGGAACTCTGGAATTTGGTTACAATATTCCTAGGAGTTTTCCTTTGGGGATCTCTTTCAGGAGGAGATCTGTGGATTCTTTCAATTTCTATTTTGCCCTCTGGTTCTAAATATCAGGGCAGTTTTCCTTGATAATTTCTTGAAAGATGATGTCTAGGCTCTTTTTTTGATCATGGCTTTCAGATAGTCCAATAATTTTTAAATTCTCTCTCCTGGATCTATTTTCCAGGTCAGTTGTTTTTCCAATGAGATATTTCACATTGTTTTCTAATTTTTCATTCTTTTGGATTTGTTTTACAGTGTCTTGATTTCTCATAAAGTCACTGTCTTCCAATTGCTCTATTCTAATTTTTAAGGAAGTATTTTCTTCAGTAATCTTTTGGACTTCCTTTTCCATTTGGCCAATTTTTCTTTTTAGGGCATTTTTCTCCTCATTGGCTTTTTGGACCTCTTTTGCCATTTGGGTTAGGCTGTTTTTTAAGGTGTTATTTTCTTCAGTTTTTTTGGGTCTCCTTTAGCAAGCTGTTGACTTGTTTTTCATGATTTTCTTGCATCACTCTCATTTCTCTTCCCAGTTTTTCCTCTACTTCCTTACTTGCTTCTCAAAATCCCTTTTGAGCTCTTCCAAGGCCTGGGACTGATTCATATTTTTCTTGGAGGCTTTGGATGTAGGAGCTTTGATTTTGTTTCCTTCTTGTTTTACAATTTTGATCTTCTTTTCACCAAAGTAAGATAATATAGTCTGACTCTTTTTGCACTGCTTGCTTATGATCCCAGCCAATTACCTGAGTTTTAAACTCTTTGTTAAGGTAAGAGTCTGCTTTCAATGTGGAGAGTGTACTGTCCCAAGCTTCAGGGGTTTGTGTAGCTGTTTTCAGAGATACTTGTAGGGACCTGTAAATTTTCAGTTCTACCAAGGTGGTATGATAAGGGGAGAGGTGTTTACTCCTTTCTTGGCCTGTGACCACAGGTATTCCTTTCTGTCCCATAACTGTGAGGAAGGGCTCCTCTCCAGAGCCACTACAAGCTCCACCATGCCAGCGCTCCTGCTCACCCCAGCACTGCCGCCCAGAACTGTGACCCAGATCCACACACGGGCAAAGCAAGAGATTCCTGCCTCAGCAGTGGCAAACAGATCCCTGCAATCCCTCTCTGATCATCCACTGGATTCCCCCTCAGTCTGTGGGCCAGAAGCTCGGGAAGCAGCTGCCCCCCCACCCCCACCCTGGGCCAGGCTGTTGGGGAGTGAAGCTGAAACCCCGCCTTCTTCTCTGACCACCGACAGAAACAGACTTTTCCCACTGACCTTCTAAGTTGTCTTTGGCATTCGTGGATTGAGGAGTCCGGAAAACTTCACAGCTGCCAGCGATTCAGTCCTCTGAGGCCTGCTCCAGGTTTGCTGCAGCCTGCGCGCCCATGCTGCGTTGCGCTGCGCTCCCAGCCCAGCGCAATACACCTTTGTGATCAATCATCCAGGTTGCCTCGGGCTGGAAATTTGTTTCACTCTGTCTTTTTGTGGGTTCTGCTGCTTCAGAATTTGTTTAGAGCCATTTTTTATGAGTATTTGGAGGGATTTGGGAGAGAGCTCAAGCAAGTCACTGCTTTCACTCCACCATCTTGGCTCCGCCCCTGATATTTATAGTTCTTGACAATCTTCCTCTAGTCTAATTATCTGGAAATGTCACCTTACTCCCCTCTTATGAGAAGCAGTGTGGGAATGTGGACAGACAGTTGGTGCTGGGCTCAGGAAGACCAGGGTAGGCTGCACCAAAGTCTTGCCTCTGCCACATCTGGGCTGGATGACCACAGGCAAGCCACTTAACTTCCCAGTGTCTTAGGAGCATCTCAAAGAGATCAGTTGCTGATCTGCATTATTAGAAGGCATTTCCTTACTAAATGCGCCCTATACTAAAGAAATCATAATTCTGGCAAAAATCAAAAACAAACAAACAAATACCCCACCCCATCACAAACCCTCGATGGCTGGTAAACTGGCCTAGTTGCTGTTGCCTCAACTCTACAGTCCAGCACTGGCCTCTGGGCCTTTGTATAACTTGTGCCCTATGCCAAGAATGCACTGCATTTTCACCTTATACTCCTTAGCTTTCTTCAAGGGTAATCTCAGGTCCAACTTCTTCCAGGAAGTTCTTTCTTATGCCCTCAGTTGCTAGGGCTTTCTCCTTCCTTGAATATTTTGGACATTTATCTCTCTATTTACATCCTTTCTCCAGAACAAAAATATAAGTTATTTGAGAAAGATGTCATTTTTTTTCTTTTGAATTTGTATCCCCAGCAACCCAGCATAATCCCTGGCACAGAATCAAAACAAAGAGCAGGGAAGCATCCATGATTGGAATCCCGTTTTCCTTTTGTTACTTGTGGGGCTCAGTTTCCTCTTCTGTAAAATAGAGAGACTGAATTAAATGACCCCTAAGATGCCTTCCAACTATAAATACCTGTTCCTATGAACATCATGCCTGAATCCTGAGTCCTGAGGGCCTAGCACTAAGAGAATGCGAAGGAGAGGCATATGGCTTAGCAAAAGCTTCCAAATATTTTTGTCATTAATCAAAGTTTCTTGGACACACTGATCCTCCAGGCAGTTACATTCAAGTCCCAGGTGGGATAGAAGTGGTGGTAGATAGCAGAGAGGGCCCTGGACTTGGAGCCAAGAATAGCTTAGTTCAGACTTCATCTCCGACACTTACTATCTGTGTGACCTATGGGCAAGTCTATGCTTCATTTATGTCATCTATAAAATTAGGGAGTTGGACTCAGTAGGCTCCAAGCTCCCTCCCAGCTCTAAATCTATAATCCAATGGGTGGAGGCAATTTTCATTCCCTCTCCCCAACACTTACCCCTACCCTCTGGTAAAAGACATGAAAGTAACACTCTCCATGATTTTGCTAAGTAACTGAAGACTTTTCTAGAGCTCATAGCTAGAGCTAGAAGGGACCTCAGAGGTCATCTGGTCCAACCCCACCTGAAGTTTACAAATCAGGAAACCAAAGACTAGAGAAGTTAAATGATTTGCCCAAAGTCAAATGGGGATTAAGGTTTACCATTGAGGTTCTCTGCCTCCAAATCCAGTGCTCTTCCACTGTGCCATGATAAGACCTTGACCTTTCTTTCTATAGACTATTCCAGTGAACCCGAATGGCCAAGTCTTTTGGAGAGGAGAAATTTCACGACTTTGCAGTGACAGCTCAGAAAACCCTAAGTGTGTGACCCCTCTCAATAGATGATTTCCTAAGCAGATCAGAAGAAAGCATATTTGATGACTGATCCTTTTTTCAGGGTCACTCTGAGGTGACTAGAAAAGGTGTCATTGAGATACACTGAGACACTGGTTTTAAAAAAAATACATATTCATTATCTAAAAAATATTAGACAGTGGAGAAATTTCTCTGAAATGAATTCAAAATGGTAAAGGTAATTGTCAAGCCATTTAGCTCCAGCAAAAAGGTGTATCTTGGGCTCCATTACACTATCATAAAATCTAACTCAATCCCACCCTTCTAATAGAGAAAAGATAAAAATCAACCTCCAAGTGATACGTGCAATGGTTAGCAGAAACTAGAAAGAATGCTCAAGAAAAGTTCTAGTTTTCACACAAAGGCTTCAAAGACTCTCTCAAGTCTCCATCTGAAGCAATTTGGGGAAGTTCTAATGAAAGCAAAGAAGGAGTGTCCCCTGAAAACACTGAGGTGGCAAAAGACAAAGCACAAGCATGTCTTGGAGAATTAGCTGACCCAGAGAAATCTCCAGGTCCTCTTTTAGTCACTTTGACAAGACAAAGCTGTAAACAACCTCTTGCAATAAAGGTCAATAATGTACAATTTAGCAGTGATCAGGCTGCACAACGTCTATGCAGAGCCCAAGCAAACTCACTGAGGTTTGTCCAGGACTCAAGCTGCAAAATGGTACTCACCCCACTGTGAATGGAGACTTCGTTGGTAATATGGGTGCAGGATGTGGTAAGCATTTTCCGTACTGTTATTCCATATGAGAATTTCCCCATCATAACTCCCTATGGATGGCAGGATAAAGAGCACAAATCATCAAAAAACTAAATTAGGTAGAAAATCTCATTGGACAGGTAAACATGGGCAGCAGTATTTTATCAATAATGAAAAGTTAGCTTCTCTTCTGGGGAAGGGGGAAGAAACATTGGGAGCCCCCAAGGTGAAAGTGACTACAATTGAATCCTCTCTCCCCAATTTTATCTTTTTGTTGCCTTCACTTCCTTACCCTTTTTCCTTCTCTTATTTTCTTCCTTCCTTTTTTTTTTTTTTTGCTAAGCAGTGAAGTGATATGAGTTGCCCAGGGTGGCACAGCTAGCAAGTGTTATGAGTCTGAGTTTAGATTCGCTGACTCCAAAACTGGCGCTCTACCCACTGTACCACTCAGCTGCCTCTTCCTGTCTTCATTTGTTTGCTACTCTCACGTTACCTTTATTGCCCTCACCTCTCCACACACACCCTCATATACACATATATGTACACATATGTAAGTGTATAAATACATATAAGTTTCTTTCCCAATACTGTTAAAAGAAGTACATTAGTCCATATGGTAAGACTATTTAGACCCACCAGGCCTAAAAAGAATGATGATATCTCATTTAAAAGTGAAATTTATACCCTGAACCATCTGACCCTCATCGGGTCTTGTGTATAACTAGAATGTGGAAGTTTGATCCATGTCTATCATATCCCAGTGTCTCCACAGACAACATGGCCTAGTCAACAGCAAGTAAACCCTTAGAATCAGAATCTGCCTTGACTGTGTAACCCCAGTGAAGTCCATTTTAACTTTCAGGGCCCTCAGATAACTCTGGAAGATGGTAAGGTACAGATGGGTTGTGATCTGATTGATGGAGGGATTCTCCCTACTAGGGAGCAGAGAGTTCCCCGAAAGGAAGAGATCAGAGCTTCAGACTAAGAGTCCATAATCACATTGTACAGTTGGCCCTTGAAAACTTATAACACACAAGAGGCAATTAATTTCTTGCAGAATCAACCTTGGTTTTTTTTGTCTTCAGTTTCTAGAGAAACTTCTATTCTACCTGAAAGATCCATTTCCTGTCTGGTGCTAATTCAATTTACCCATATCCCATGGCTTTGAGAGTTTGAGACAGTTATATCCTGCATCATTTCATTGCTGGTCTGTTCTTTATCTTTGTTTTTTTAGGGTTGTTTTTTTTTTTATTCAGTCTGCTGTAATATGGACTCATTGGTAACTTTTTATAGGAATTTGTTCTCACAACTTAACTTTCTTTGGCAAGAAATGATGGAACATTTGGACTGTGTAAGTATTTCGTCTTAAAGCAAATCCAGCTACCTTTCCAAAAGCTCCGATTTACTCACATGTTATGGGACAAAAGCCACAGCCAGAATCTCCTAAGTGTAGCCTGAGCTAGACTTCATTACATAATGATGCTACTCTGAGTACTGGCCTCTAAATGAAGAAATAGCAACCTTGGTGAAATCACTAGCCGAGGAGCCCTTATAATGTAACGTGGTAGGCTAGGGAGAATGCTGTTTCCAGAGTCGAAGGCCTTGAGTTGAAATCCTTTCTCTGAAGCTGAATGTCTGTGTGATCTTGGGCAAAGGTACTTAGTCCACTTTTTCATCTGTAAAATGAAAGAGTGGAACTAGACGGATTCCACGGTCCCTTTTGGTTCTATATCTGTGGACCTATGGTGATATCACTTTGTCTCTTGAGGCCTCAGTTTCCTCATCTGTGAAATAAGGGACTAGATGACCTCTAAAGGCCTTTTATAATTTTATGATCCTCTTGAGGAGAAGAAGAAAGTAGGAGGAAGCCAGAGACTGAAGGTCAGGAAATAGCAAAAACATCAAATATGTTCTCTTTTACACAGAAGAGATGTTCATTTTGCAAATTCTGAATTTTTTTTTGAGAGAGAAAGAATTTAAACTTTCAGCATGGGTTGGCAAATTAATGTTCCATGACCTGTAACTAGAGTCTGTGGAGGTAAAAATGCAGCACATAAGATGTCCTCACGATGCTGTGCCCCTCCTTTCCATTCTTCAGGCTGAACCGAAAAGGGAGTGAAGTCATGAAGTCGGAAGACAGTAATTGCCCTAGGGAAAGAGATTAAGAATTTATCCACATTCAACAGTGTCACCGGAGGTAGAAGGGACAGCTCATCACCTGTGGGTGGAATTCAAGGGCTGATAAAGAACTGTCAGTGGAAAAATTAAATTCACCAAATATTTATTCACTACATATCGCTTGGTGGGAGCACCTTGCTAAATGCCGAGAGTGGTACAAATATTCGATGAGAAGCTATCTCTAATTCTCAGTTTTGTTTGAATTGATGACCCATTGGGCAGGCTGGGGAAGTCTATGGACTCTGCCTCTCTTTCTTTCTTTCTTTCTTTCTTTCTTTCTTTCTTTCTTTCTTTCTTTCTTTCTTTCTTTCTTTCTCTCTCTCTCTCTCTCTCTCTCTCTCTCTCTCTCTCTCTCTCTCTCTCTCTCTTTCTCTCTGAATCATGTTTTTAAATAATTAAATGAAATTCTGCTTCATGGATTAGAAAGTAAAAACATAATTTTTTGCATCCAAGCTCACAGACTCCAGGAACCTCAGCTTAAGAACCTTTCATCTAGTAGTCATGTTATAGAGGGACAAACACACAATTATAGTATGAAGTAAAGGCATTATAGGGATAGAAACCAAACTGTGCCATGAAGACTAAGGGAAAAAGGTTTTTAAAGATAAGGAAGATCAAGAAAGTTTTCATGCAGGTAGCATTTGAGTTGGACATTGAGGGATGGGTAGGAATTGAACAAGTAACTAGTAAAGATGGTGACAGAAACAGTCCAGACATAGGGATGAATGCAAGCAAAGAAATGGAGGTAGGAAAGCACAGGATGTGTTTGAAGGGAATTCAGTGAAGGCATGGCATAGAGTACATAGAGGGAGTAATAATACAAGCCTAAAAAAAGATAGAATGGCACCAAATTGTGGAAGATCTTGAATGCTAAGCAAAGGAGTGTGAATTTTGCCTGGTAAGCAACAGGGAGCCACTAAAGACTAGAGTAAAGGAGTCTCATGTCTCAATCAATGAAGTTATCCACAGACATAACTTAAATGGCCACTAAAACTTGTGAGGGCTGACAATTTCAAAATTTTGTCCTGTGACAAAATTGGTTGTGAATCTCGCCAAATCTAGCAAGTTTGGCCTTTGGATGACATCATCAGCCTGTATCAGAAACCTTTCAATCTTGCTAGTATGGTTCTGAGCTTATACTGGGCTGGCATAGCCTTCAAGACCCCCAGGTCACCTTCTTTCCATGGTGACACATCTGAACAGAATTTTAGTGGAGGAAACATGGAAGAATCCTCTTAAAATTACCGGGGGGGGGGTTGGAAGAGGTGTTTGTTGGGGTTGTGGAAATAAGAAATTTCTTACTAATAGTCCTTAATACCTTAGCATGAAGTAGTCTATCAAATTAGAGAACAAGTCACAAAAGAAGACCCTGAGGAAATATCTCACAAGACAAATGTGCTTTATTGAGGCAGTAGCCAGGAGCTGAGTGGTGAAGGGAATCTCAGATGCTTAGGAAACTTCTGAGTATAGGGACAGAGGTTGGAGTGGGACTCTACATTGGGGTACAGAGAACCATCCTTCCTTCTAAATGTCCATTTTACTTTCGAGGGCTTCACCATTGTTTGAGTCACCCAGGCTTTCAAACTAGGTGTCATCCTAATCTCTCTCAGCCTCCATATCCCATCTACTGCCAAAAGCTGTCAATTTTACCTTCATAACCTCTCTGAAATATGTCCCTATCTGACTCCTACAGGCCCTCATCCCCTCACTATTAGACTATTATTACTGTCTGCTGTTTGGTCTCCCTGACTCATCTTTCCCACTCCAGTTCATCTTCCACTCAGCAGTCAGCTTAATCTCCCTAAAGCACAAATCTGACCCTGTCATCAACACCCTCATTCCATAAATTCCAGTGGCTCCCTATCACATCCATGATCAAATATAAAATCCTCTGTCTTAGATTCAAGTCCTGCACAAGCTTCTAAATTTCCAATATTCTTCCACCTTCCTCCCCACCACATACTCACCAATCCAGTGAGACCGTTGTTACTCAAACAAGTCTCTCCAGACTCCAGGTGTTTTCACTGGCTATTCCCCATTCCTAGAATATTCTCCCTTCTCATCCCTGCTACCTCCTGTCTTCTTCAAGTCCAAGCTAAAATTTCACCTTCCATGAGAAGACTGCCCTGATCCCCCTTAATGCTAGCACCTTCCCTCTAGTAATCATCCCCAATTTATCCTGCATGTATCTTGTTTGTAGACAGTTGGGTGGTGCAGCAGATAGAGTCAGGAAGCCCTGAACTCAAAGGAGCCTCAGATGCTTGCTGGCTGTGTAACCTGAACAAGTCACTTAACCTGTGTCTGCTCCAGTTTCCTCATCTGCAAAATAATACTAGCTAGTACTTATATAGTGCTTTAAGGATTGCAAAGCAATTTATAAATATTTTCTCATTTGAGCCTCACAACAACCTTGGGAGGTGAGTGCTATTATTATCCTCATTTTGCAGAGGAAGAAACTGAGGCACAGAAAGGTAATGTGACTTGCCCAGGGTCACACAGCTAATAAATGTCTGAGACCAGATTTGAATTCAGGACTCCCACATTCCAGGTACAGTGAGCTCTATCTGCTTTGCCACCTAGCTGCCCAAATGGGATATGAAGATAAAATGTTAATATATGTAAAACACTTTTCAGACCTTAAAGCCCTATGTAAATGCTAGCTGCTTTTAGTTATAATGATTTAATTACCTTGTATTTTCTTATCTATATTCTCGTTGTATTCCCCCAGTCCATTGTAAGCTCCGTGAAGGAAGGAACTGCTTTGCATTTTGTCTTTGTATCCCCAATATCTGGTACCGTGACCCGTCTACATTTGTTGTTGTTCAGTTATTTTTCAGTCCTGTTCAACTCTTCATGACCCCATTTGTGGTTTTCTTGGCAGAGATACTGGATAGTTTTCCATTTCCTTCTCCAGCTCATTTTACAGATGATGAAATTGGGGCAAACAGGGTCAAGCGACTTACCCAGGGCCACAAGGCTAGTATCTAGGGCCAGGTTTAATTCACCAAGATGAGTCTTCCAGACTTTGGGCCTGGCACATTATCTACCCTACCTAGCTGCCCCACTTAAAAATTCTCATTGAATTGAATTAAATTGCTAAAATTTGGTTGGAGATATTCCCTTTAAAATCATTTCATTAGCCCTCCTTCTTACCTGATCCCTCTCTCCAGAAGCCAGTGCTGAATTTGCCCATTTGCAGAAATGCTGATTATTAACCTAGAATATTCAAAATGATTCTCCCCTCCCCCAAATCTGCAAAGAAGTTTGCAGAACTACCAAAAATGTCCAAAGTATCCCTTCTGATATTTGACCTTGGGCGTCAAAATACTGAGAAATTAATTAGCTGTCATCTTTTTCCTTAATACCCAATCTGAAAACCTTCCCCAGGAAATGACAGTTATCTTGAAATAGCCTAAAAATCCATACTATACTTTCTATTTTAAAACAGCATTTTTCAAAGTGCATAGCTTCACTCACAATGCAGGGCTATGCCTACAGAGTTAGTAGAAATGCAGAATGAGACAACTATCTGGATAATTCAGAGGAAAGTGCACCCCAGGAGAAAACCATCCAAAACCCCTTTCCCAAGGTTGATGGGACTTGGTCTTTGTCCTGGTGGGCTCTCTAGCGATGCCCTCACTATATAACCATTCCAAATTTTACTTCATATTTGTACTTCCTGGGAAGTTCTTCACACTGTAAACACCGCCTCCCCCCCCCATGACAATGATCCATCTTCTCAATAATTCTGAATTTAAGTGACTTAATCCCTTCAGCTGAAAGCCAAATGAATTTGTTGTGAAAGGGGAAAAAAAGTTTCCCTGAGTGTGTAGTCTATCTAGGAAAGCATGCTTCCTGCTAACAGTGATCAGGAAGAAATCCTCATTAAAGAAATTCAACACAGGTGATATTTCCGGGGGTGATTCTTTAATTCAATCTGTGCTAGGCATTGGAGATAAAAAAAAAAGATGACAGTAAGAATAGTCCCTGCCCTCCAGAAGTTTATATTCTGTTGAAGGATACAATATCAGAAAAGTAAATACTGGCTAATTTGAAGAGGGGGGAAAATATTAGTAACTGGAGAGGAGGGAGAGAGTCAGGATTCAAAGTGTTGTTGGGTCTAGGTACCATGATCTGTCTGTTGATACCATGAGTCTTCCATTCCTTCTTGCTTATTTTTACTTCATTAAAGTTTGGTGCTGAAGAGAGAAGATGCAAGGAGAGGAAAGGGGAATCTAGTTCTTTTCAAAAAAAAGAAAAAGAAATGTTAAAGTTGTTATTGATGCAAACCCCTTGAACACAGGGTTATTTTTGTTGTCATTATTGCTGCTTATATTTGTACCCCAGGCTAGCATAGTACCTTGCACACAGTAGGCACTATTTAATAAATGACTGTAATATTCTTTTGGATTCTTTTGAATTGTATTGGATTAGACCAAAACTAATAACTAAAATTAGGTTTGGAAGTTGGCTTATCTGTGAATTTCAAGTATGTCTGCTTCTTTATGTTCCCTTCTGCAAATATCCTCGAATTGGCAATAACCATGAAAAATATTAGTGGATCCTTATTGTAACTAAAAAGTAAAGCCTGTGGAGTTAGGGAGAATTATGGTTCCATTATGAGATGACTGCAAAGAACCTTATATTCTGTGATGGTTAAGTTTTCTGCCTGAGGCCCTATGAAATCCTCAAACTCAGGTCACTTTCAAAAAATTGACTTCCAAATTTAATCTGCAAAGCTTTATTGAGCACCTACTGTGAGCAAGGAGCCATGCCAGATGCCATATCACTAGTGATTATTTGGATCTGGCTACATATTGCATGAAGGTCTCAGGCTCTTTTGCTTTCAATTTAGCATTTTATTCATGTATATCCTTATATATCTTTAGTATTTTATTTATGAATTTTAAAACTGCCACAGGGATGGGATTAAATCTACATGACTGGAAAAGGACCCCAGGAGAGAAATAAAGACAAAAGAGACATAGAGATTGAGGCCATTTATACAGGCAAATAATAATGACTGATATGAATGGTATAGAGCATTTCAAGGTTTGCAAAGTGTTTCTATATATATTATCTCATTTCCTCATTTTTATAATGTTGGAGGTGGGTAGGTATTTCTTGATTTTTATGGCTAAGGAAAGGAACACTCAGAGACTTTAAATGATTTGACCGTGGTCATACCAAGGAGATTAGATCAAAGTATTCAAGGAAGTAGACTCCTTTCAGTCAACCACCAAGTGCTCATTAAGCTCTCAGACCCCAAGCTAGGCCCTGGGGATACAAGACAAAAGTGAAACAGTGTCTGCCCTCATAGAGTTTAGGGTCTAGTAAGGGAAGACACTTAACACATAAAGAAAAGCTACACAACAGATAATCTGGGGGCAATCAGGAAAACCTTCGCATAGATTTAACTAAAGATTCACATAGATTCAGAAGTTCTTAACCTGGGGTCTGGGAACAATGGTTTGTTATTGTCATCATTGTTGTTGTTACTGTTTTTACATTTTGATAACCATATTTCAACGTAATTGATTTTCTTTTCAATCAATGTATTTTATTTGTACATTTAAGCAGCTTATTCTGAGAAGGGTCCATAGGCTTCACCAGACTGCCAAAGAGGTCAGGACACAAAAACAGTGTGACATAGAAGGTAGCCCTTAGGCTAAGCTTTGAAGGAATTTGTGGATTCTAAGACATAGATGTGAGGGAGGAATATTTTCTAGGCATGAGAGGCCAGTGAAAAACACTATGGGAGATGGAGTGTCATGTATGAAAACGACAAGAAAGCCAGTGAAGCTGGATCCTAGCGCAAGTGAAGGAAAGCACCGTGTAATAAAGTTGAAAGGGTAAGTTAGGGTCTAGTTGTGAACAGCTTTTAACATGAACCAGTAGATTTCATATTTTGTCCTAGTAGCATTAGGGAGAGGCAGCTAGGTGATGCAGTGGATAGAGTGCCGGGTGCCGGCCTGGAGTCAGCAGAGCCTGATCCAGCATCATGTGACCCTCAGCAAGTCACCTCACCCTGGATGTATCAGTTTCTTCATCTGTAAAATGAGCTGGAGAAGGAAATGGCAAACCATTCCAGCATCTCTGCCAAGAAAATCCCAAATGCGGCCACAAAGAGTAGGACATGACCAATCAGCTAAAAAATAATGGCATTAGGGAGTCACTGGAGTTCTTTGAATAAAAGACTAATATGTCATACCTGTGCTTTGGGAAAGTCATGTTGGCAGCTATGTGAGAGACTCAAGGGAGGGAGTCCAATTAGGAGGTTATTGCAATAGTCCAGATGACAGGTGATGGGAGTCTGAATCAGAGTGGTATAGATGACATAGAGGCATTGGGTGGGCTGATCAAATCTGCCAGCTGATTACTCATCAATCTATTTGTCTTTACATGTTTAGATCCAGTCAGAAATAAATTTAAGGAGTACTGGATTGGGAGTTAGGAAGATCTTGGTTCACATATCTCCTGAGAAATAATCCTGGGCAAGACATAACCTCTCTGAGCCTTGGTTCCTCGCCTGTAAAATGAAGGGATTGGACCACATGGTTCCTAAGGTCTCTTCCATCTCTAAAGCCATGACCTTAGTTCTGTACTGGGAGTTTAGCCCTGGACATACCATGGAAGCCAGGCTATGACCCCTGCACTCAGCATATTTCCTTTTCGATAACAAGAGGTACTTTTTGAATTGCTCAGAGTACCATCAGGTCAGTGCCTCTTGTTGCAGACACTAATGTCCTTGGGGAGCAAGTCATCCTTGCCTTCAACCTTCACCATAGCACGTGGACGTTACAATCAGGAAAATTCAGGATACAACTTTAAGTCCAGAACAACCAACATTTTAGTTTGTGTCTACACAAAGACACAAACTGGTTCCATAGTTTTGACAGAATTGCATAGCCAATTTAATCAAATGATCCCTACTAATTGTTAGCAGTTAGCTAGTGGCTCCTTAGTGACCAGTGGACAGAAAGATTAAATTCACTCGTGCATGTTGACACAAGTTCCTGGACAAACAGTAATAAAGGCAGCAGCTTCCCTTGGGTTTGGAAGGAGGTATTCTAGCTTAATTGCAGTCTTCAGGTTCCTTTTCTCAAATCCCTAAGCTTTTCAGGACAGTGATCTGAGTTGTTTATGTCACACCCGGACATTTGTAGCTCATAAATGATATCAGCAATCTTGCCTCCCCCCTTCCCAAACAGAACTGAGGATGTCTCCTTTTAGCCCTTCTTCTAAATTCTTCCAGTAAAAGAGATCCAGTCTTAGATATTATAAAATGTGTTCCAATTCAATGCCTCTTTTCCAGGAAATATAGTTCATAAATCCATGGAAATATGAATAAACATTATAGCAGACAATTTATTGATCCTTCCACTATAGTTGAAAGGAAAACACTTTCATGGTGGGTTGTGTTGCTTTTTCCAATTATGACTAATAGGTCACCAGTAGTGACAGACTTGTCAGCCCTGATTTCTACTCAAATAGATTAAGTATCTTCATTTGTCTCAGCCAAAACCATGCCTCCCCATCCCCCACCCCCAGTGTGTCTTTAGAAGACCACAACTAGGATGACGAATTCTTCCATTTTTGTTCCAACATTCTCAAAGCTTCCTTCCGAAGTCTTTTTCAGTCCAATTCAAAGCAGTTCATCAAACATTTACTAATTACCTATTATGTATTGGTTATTCTTCTGGCCTCTGGGGATAAAAAGTTGAAGTCAACAGTCTTTGCCTTCAAGGGGCTTACATTCTCCTGAGGGAAAATGTGCATAGATAAGCAGATACAAAATATATTCAAAGAAAATAATAAGGAAGGTGGGAACTGGGGGCGTACTGGAAAGGCCTTGTTTAGGAGGCGGCACTTGAGCTAAGCCTTAAAGGGAGCTTTTCAAGTTGGGGCAATCAGGAAGGATGGCATTCCCAGCATAGGGAACAGCATGTGGAAAGGAAAAGCAGTGTGAGACAGAATGCTAAATACATGAGCGTATGACAGCTAACCATCCAAATGACGGATGAGAAAGTCAGACTACTGGTCTTTAGATTTCTTTCAACATATTTGTTGGACTCCATGGCCCTATATGGCTTTAAGTTTCCAATTTTAAAAATTTCTTTCTCTAAAATGAGACTATTCTAATCATATCATTGCTTCTAATTATGGGCTATTAGTTTTTTTAATGAACAAAATGATTTCCTCTAAGTATTAATATTAAGTACCTATTATGGCCAGGCACTGTGCTAAGGGGGCTTACTCAGAAATAGGCTTTCATTTTTTTTTCCAGTGGGGAAAAGAATGAAACAATTCTTTTCCAAGAAGCATTCAAATAAACATTGGTCACAGCTGGCCATTAAAGAAAAATGATGTCATTTCACCATATATTTTTTTCGGAAGAAGGGAGAGTCTGTTTCTATGAGTTCATCGCTGTAGAGAATTCCCACACAGGGACTGCCTGCATTGATGTATATCAAGATCTAAAACTTATGGCCTCAGAGAGTTGCCTAGGTCACTGAGAGGTTATACTTCACTTGCTCACGGTGGACCAACCAGAATAGGTCAGAAGCAAAATGTGACCCAAAGTCTTTTGGGCTTTATGATTAAGGCACAGTGCCTAGCCCATAGATTTCATGTTGGTTGGTGTCTGTGATAGCACAGAGATGATTAGGATGCAGATTGCTGAATTAGCTATGAGTCATAATGATTGCTCCCATGGACAGGAAGCAGCCTGCCTTCGTAAGGCATATATGGAAGAATTATGTCATAATATTATGTAGAACACTTTGGTCTGTGCTTTTCCTCCTACCAAACAAAATTTCTATGAAAAAAAATGATAGGCCATATGCTCCATCTGCTAATGTGTCTATATGCATTAGTGCTTGGATTAAAGGTCTTTTCTATGATTAATAAAATCCACCCAAATGGCACAGTTAGTTGTCTGAGCATAGAATCTGATGAAGAGAGGGGAGGGGGGAAAGTTTATACCATACTACCCTCAAGCCACTAAAATGATAATTTGACAGTGAATAACTGCTGGCTAATTACCTATTAAAGCAATATTTTCTGTGCTGCCAAATTTACAGGACATAGTATTTTCAAAATTCAGGCCCCTTTAATTTTCCTCATATGAGTGATGCCTTAGAATGCTTGGGTCTGGTGCACCCTTCAGTTCTCCAGAAAAAAAAAGAAGGAAATATCATTTCCCTTGGGGTGAAAGTTGAGGAATGTTTCCATGAAAACAGTAAGTGCTTTGTCAAGGCCACCTCTATGTAACAAACTGAAAAATATTCCAATATGCTTTTGTAGCTAGATATCTGTTTTTTTGTCTTTTTGTGTTTTTTTTTAGCAAAGAAAAGTCTCAAATTATAACTGGAGGAATTGAAGAGAAGTGTTAAAATCTTTTTGACTAAAAATAATGAAGCCCTGGAATGTGATACTAAGGGAGGAAAAAAAGGACCTCCTTGGCAGAAGATTTTTAGAAGGTGGAAAACTTTTGTTTCAGACATTAATGTTCTCTGGGAGCAAATCACCCAAGCCAGAAAAGGCACCAGATGGCTTCTCCAGGTTCTTCTAAGTCCTATGATTCTTTGATCTGTCACTCAGTTGATAAGCAGTCAACTCCTACTGAGAATTCCTCTCAATTAGGTCAGCAGCAAATGAATGACCCAGAGGGAGTCAACATTTCCATGCTCCCTCCTGTTTTTAGATTTGGAAACCCAACATGAAAACATTCTCTTTACCTTCTTTCCAGTCTTTTGCTACAAGACATCCAAGGACATACCTCTCCCAACCTACCACTAGTATAGTCTTCTTTAGGACTAGGATCTGAGAAATATCCACAGCTCGATCTTGACCCATGTTCAGGGTATGATGACAATGTCCATTGAAATCCCAAATCTTTAAGGGGAAAAAAAATTACCTTTAGAAGAGGCAAAGAAGTTACACTTTTTTTAAAAAAAAATTCCCTTTACTACACAACATTGTGAAAAATGATTTGGGTTTGCTTCTAGAAATAAAGTTTAAAATTAGTTTATATATTAATTGAAGAGAATATGCTTCCTTTTAAAATATTTGTGATTACCAATTGTATGGTAACTATTAGTAATATATTTTGTAATGAGTTGATTCAAAGGCATTCTGCCAGCGCATTTAGGATAATTGAATATTAATGAGGAGACATTCTGTTCCTCAAGCTCAGCCTGATTAGGGATACGGAAAGTAGATGACTGAACATTTTCATTTTTAATTGGTCCATTCTTAAAACCCAAACTACCGGAAAGTGCACTGGGGATACAGATGCGTAGTAGGCGCTTTTCAGTTGAGGAATGGTTAACAAATTGTGGCGAGTAAATGTGTCATGCCATAAGAAATTATGAACACGAAGACTATAGAAAAACGTGAGAAGATTTACATGAACTGGTACAAAGTGAAGCAAGCAGAACTAGGAAAATAATACACACTGAGCACAATACGTAAGTGGGAAGAAGAGCAACAAAACAATTGAAACTAAAAGGAAAAAAACATATGCTACTAGGCCTAGAAGAAAAGAGAAGAAAATGTACCTCCCTCCCTTTTTTACAGATGCGGGGGACTAAGGGTGTGGAACACTGCATCCACTGTCTGACTTGGCTGATATGCTGATATGTTAGTTTTACTGAACTTTCTTCTCTCTTATTCTTTCTTATAAGAAAAAGACGTGTCTCTGATCTACGAGCACTTGTCAAAATCATTCTATGTTCCCAGCATCATGCCAGAAGCTGGAGATACAAATACAATGAATTAAAACAATCCTTATTTACAGGAAGCTTATACTCTGATAGGGAAATACAGCGAACACATATACAAATGGGTAAAGCACTAATATAAAGTGAATAAATACAAATATATACAAGGTAGCTAAATATAAAATGATTTATAGGAAGGGAATTAGCACTTGGAGAGTTATGGAGAGGTTTCATGTAAATGATGGAGCATGCTTGAGCTTTATCTTAAAAGAAGAGAGAGAGGCTATAAGCAGAAGTGAGGAGAGAGAACATTCCAAGCAGATTGGATGGCCAGTGTAGAGGTACAGAGATGGGAGATTGAGTATACTGTGTAAGGAATGGTAAGACAGCCATTTTATTGGATCACAGAATTTGGGGTGGAAGGTAATATCCAATAAGTTTGGAAAGGAAAGGGTGCTGAATTTGGCATCAGAGAACCTGAGTTCAAATTCTAGTTCTTCTATTTACTAACTGTGTGAACCTAGGGCCCATTATTTAGCTTCTCAGGGGCCTAGGTAACTCTCTACAACTGTAAGTTATTGATGAGTTGCCAATCTTGAATTGGTGACAGAGTTTCCACATCGAGAGTTACCTACTCTGGTAAAATCATGAGTATGTCCTTCCTGCTAAAAAAAAAAATCCCAAAGTTTCATATGTGTATTATAGTAGTAAACAGCAACTGGCATTGTGCCCCCAAATAAATTAATAATCACATAATTTGTATTAGGTTATGCAAGACACGCCATATGGCAATATGGGGAGTACAACTCATCTCTAGGTACCAGTGTATTATGATAATAAAGATTAATAAAATAAACCCAGAGACAATAATAATTAAAAAAAATCCTTAACAAGGATCCAGGGAAAAGCCATTGACATTTCAGAAATAGTCACATGCTTTAGGACAGAAATATTAAGATGGTCAATATTTTCAAGGAGCAGCAGTCCACTTGTCACCGGCTGCCTTGTAGGGGTTGTTAGGTAATTGCAGTCCTGGTCATTGTGCTGCTTCTGCAAAGAAGCTTTGATCTACATTTATAACCCCTTCATTCAAGAATGCCTTAGCATGCTTTGTCCACTCAAAGGCTGTTTCCCTGACAGCTTTGTTACTGAAGGTTTTCATTAATAAGTTTATGTCATCTGGTCACATCTCTCCTCTAACAAGGCACACACACACGCAAGCATTCACACACACACACACACACACACACACACACACACACACACACACACACACACACACACACATCCCTATATGGATGTTGTTTTCCCTCAGCAGAACCTTTTGGCTCAGCTCCTGTAGAGAAAAGAGCTGGCAAACAGCATCCCAGAGTTAGTTCACACCTTTATTGCACCATCTGGGCTCCCAGTTAAAAGCCTCCTCTCGCTTGGATCCAGGGCCATGGTGCTGATTTCTGCATTGCCATGGCAACCCGTAAACTGTTTGATTTTCTGCCCAGTGTCTATCATCCAGAAAGAAACAGTAGATTCTGTATCAGAACTGATGACCTGCAATGAAATGGAATCAGGAAGGAATTTGATATTTACCAGGAATCACACAAATTTCCTAGAATGGAGATGCAAATGTCATGCACTTTTGGTATCGACCTCCCATAAGGAAATTAGAGTTTGGGGTAATAATTTTTTTTAATTGATAATATTCCAAATGAGGGGTAGCATGGCATACTAGAGAACTGCCTCAGAGTTAGGAAGACCTGAGGTGACGTCTGACTCTGACACGTTCTGATTATTTGACTCTGGATGAGTCGCTTAATCTTGCAGTGCTCAGGTCACTTTTAAATACTAACAATGATGACAAGCATTGTTTTCCAAGTATATGTATAATATATGTAAATACATATTATTTCATTTAATCTTCGGAATAACCGTTGGAGTGCTATTGTTATCCCCATTTTACAGATGAGGAAACTGAGTCAGTCAGAGGTGTAATGATTTGCCCAGGGTCACATTTCTAATACATGTCAGAAGCAGCATTTGAACTCAGGCTTGGGTGAATCAAAGTCCAGCACTCTATCCACTGAACCACCCACCCGTCTAAGACTATAAGGTGCAGAGTGGTCCAACAGCATTGACAAGGAAGTTTCCTGACTCACAGGTTTCCCATACCAAAGAAATCACAAGTCCAGGGCAAAAAGAAAAGTTAACATAGGCAAGAAAACATTTAACTTCGGTAAGGAAGACCAAGGTTTGAATTCTGACTCAGGCTTACTACCTATGTTTACTTGGAACCTTTGACCTCCTTCCCTCAGTTTTCCTTTCTGTAAAACATGAGGCATCAGAAAAAACTATCTACAGGGTCTCAGTTATAAACCTATGATCCTATGAGGAGGTAGAATTTTAGGGGACAATAAAATAAAACCCCTTCTCAGAAAAGAGTTTCCCTCTGCACCATTCATCCTTGCGAGTGGAGGACACTCTAGAATAACAGGTTATTGAATACATCTCATCAGATAAATCTTGCCTATTTGGATCAGAAAGTTGATCTACTGGATAATGGAACTGTGCTATGACTCACTCCAGGATGAGGGGAGAAGTGGAGCAAGTCTGTTAAGTATCTGTCACCTTCAGCTGAGTCTTCAGCAAACGAAGGTAGCCAATCCATCATGGGAAGATGGCCATTCCCACCAAATGTCACAGTTACTGCCTTAAATGCCAACAAGGCCCTAAACTACTTGCTGCCTCCTGTTCTCTCCAGGTACTATACATTTTTTTTTTCGATGAAAACATTATTATGGATGGGTCAATAAAGAACGAAGAGCATAGGGAAGTTAGGTATAAATCTACGTTAACCTAGCAAACAGGACATCAAGATGCACAGCTCAGTGCACTTGGAAACAAATGGGAGGAGAAGGGACCAACAACCAGAGCCTCGGATAGGGAGGATGGTCAGCCCTGGTGGGGAGTCGCCTGGTTAGTTTACTGGCATTTCGCCACCATTATATTTAATAAGCCTACAGGTTATAGAAGCCTTGTACTCAAGTACCTCGGGTAATGAGGAGAGAAGCTAGGATGAGACCTGCAAAAATGGAAGAATGAAAGATTCCTGGAAGGATAAGCATCTTCCAGGTCCAGAAAATACCCAAGATCCATGTCTCAATGGGCACTGGCTAGATAATAATGGCTAGCTCTTATATAGCACTTCCTACATACCAAGCTGTGTATTTAGTCATTTCAGTGGTGTCTGACTCTTTGTGACCTCATTTGGGGTTGTCTTGGCAGAGATACCAGAGTGATTTGCATTTCCTTCTCTAGCTCATTTTACAGATGAGGAAACTGAGGCAAACAAGGGTAAGTGACTTGCCAAGGGTCATACAGCTAGTATGTAAGGCCAGAATTGAACTCAGGAAAATGAGTTTTCCTGACTCCAGGCCGAGCACTCTACCCACCATGCCACCTAACTGCCTAGGCTGCTTTACAAATATGATCTGATTTGATATTCCTAATTACCCTAAGAGGTAAGTGTTATTGTTATGCCTATTTTACAAATAAGGAAACTGAGGCAAACAGATGTTAAGTGACCTGCCTAGTTTCAATCAGCTAGTAAGTTTCTGAGGCTAGATTTGAACCTCTGGTCTCCCTGACTCCAGGCCTGGCACTATATTGACCATATCACTTACCTGCCTCTAATGAAAGAAAATTTAATGGGAATCATTGCCAAGGCCTACATTTCTGTAAACTGTGCATGACAACAGAACCTACCACTGTTGTGAGGATCAAATGAGATAATTGTAAAGCACTTAGCATAGTGCCTGGCACTAAGTGCTATATAAATGGTAGCTATTATTATTTTTGTTATCATCATCATTATTGTTATCTTTTAAATCCCTTTTATTGGTTTTTGCCAATGTGGGGATTCCTGGCATGGAAACTCTGTACTGAACTAAAATTTCACATTATCATTACAATCAGCCACAAAGAAGTTTCTCAAATGCAATTGTCATGATGGCCAAATAGCAGACTTTCCTCCAATATTCAAGCAAAGGAGGGATCCTTAATTTCTAGGTGACAATTGATCGTGTCTCTTTCAGCTGCTGTCCTCTGAAATAATCAAGCACCAAACTAAACTTCTAAGACATCTGAAGCTTTTTGTACCACACCTATCTCCTGTGTAGCCAAAACTGTAGATTTAGAGTTAGGATCTTAGAGATCATTTTGTCCCATATTTTACAGATGAGGTCACTGAGGTCCACAGATGCTAAGTGACTTGTCCAAGGTCCACAGACAGCAGCAGGATTTGAACTCATTTCTCATGACTTTTAGTTCTTCCCTCACAGTCAGAATTCTCCACTGCCACTTGTGAAATATCCCCAATGCAGACTTTTAAAATAAATGAATACCCAATGAAAGATAGCATGGAATGGTGGATAGAAAGCTGGCTCTGTAGTCAGGGGTGGGATCATATCCCACCTCAGATGCTCACTGTGTGACTATGTTCTTAATTTTCGTGAGCCTTAGTTTTCTCATCTGCAAAATGGAGACATTGATAGCACCTACCTCACAGAGTTCTGGTAACAAATAAATGAGATCTTATACACAAAACCCTTTGCTAGGCTTGAAGTATATGTAAAATATGGGCATCAAAGCAAGTCAGAGACCAGAACATTCAGATTTCAGAGACTGGATCACTGGGGGGAAAAAAAGGCTTACAGTTGGCATGAATGTTAGAGATGAGATTGTCTAAGTCTCTCATTTTACAGATGGGGAAACTGAGGCAAGGTACAGAGGGTTAGGCCACACAGACAACAAGCAGGAGAGCTGGGGTTCAAATGCAGGCTATACTCTGGAGATTCTATTGGCATCTTTTGCATGTTCATATCATAGAATCATTTGGGAATTCTGAACAGTTTTTTTTATAGAGAAAGCCGTGGGAAGACAGCATCCTGTGCAGGTGAATGACAGTATTGATCTCAGTCTTCAGAAGCCTGGCTCCCCAGCTGTCACTCTCCAGGGTCCTGAAGAGTCAGGAGTTCACAAGCGGAACATGAGCGGAGCCAAATAAAGTGAGGCCAAGTCACAAAGAGAAGTGCTTCATCTGCAAAGAGCTAACAACATCTCCTTAACTCCAAAGTCTCCAAGAGTTGCCCCCTCTAACCTTTTCTTTTTTCGCCTCAAAATAGACATCTGAGCATGTGAGGCAGCCCTGACTTGTCACCGCTTCCTACTTCATAGCCCTCTTTGAAATTTCATTCCTTGCAGCCTTTATTTTCCCATTCAGTGGTTTCGGTCAACAGCTGGAAAACAAAGATTTTGCCTCATTCATCCCATGCCCACTTATTAATAATAATACTGGGCACTTATGAAGAACTTTAAAGTTCACAAAATGTTTTACATTCCTAATCTTGTTGGAACCTCACAACAACTAGGTTTGGCAGCTACAAAAATCTTCAAATGAATCTAAGATCTTATCATTGTAGTTGTTCCTTTCAATAATGTAGACTGATTATCATTCCTCCGTGTCTGCCTATCCTTACATGACTTTCATCCATGAGCTCCCACGAACGTGACATAGTGCGTCCACCCAACATGCCAAGATCTTCCTTGATTTCTCCTGATACCGTTAGGATGGATGCCAGCAGAGCACTCCAGCTATCAACCCATTATCCCCCATTCTCACCATATTTCCATTCAAGAGTGAGACAGAGCCTGCTCTAATTGTCTCATGGGATTCAATTGTTAAATTCCCAGGGTGAGCATTTGAATGTTGGGAATCAACAAACACTAAAAATGAGGGTTTCATTTGTTGTTTTGTTTTAACAAAACATTGTTTTGATTTAACAAAATGTTTGTTAATGTTGGTTTAGACTTAAGAAAGAGTTGGAAAAGATATTAATAATGCAGATCAAATGTAAAAGTGTGTCATGGGTATAATTTTTCTTCAGAGAGCTGGTTGTTAAACATTTACCAGCAAGCCCTTGCAGCCAACCTAATGCTTTTTCAATCATACATTTCTTTGGTGACATCCTAAGCATTGCAGCCCTGGGCCTGGAGTCAAGGAGACCTGACCTCCATTCCTGCCTCAAACATTTACTAGCTTTGTGACCCTGAGCAAGTCACTTAATCTGCCTTACTTTCCTTATCTGAAAAAGGGGATAATAATATCTGGCTTATAGGCAGTTAAGTGGTGCAATGGACAAAGTACTGGGCCAAAATAGGTATAAACCTGAGTTCAAATCTAGCCTCAGCCACTTACTAGCTATGTAACCTTGGACAAGTCAATTAACTTCAGTTTCCTCAACTGTAAAATGGTAGTAATAATAATAATAGCACCTACCTTCCAAGGTTGTCATGAGGACAAATGAGATTGTTTTGGGTGTTTTTCCCCTGAGGCAGCTGATGGTGCAATAGAGAGATTGCTGGGCCTGAAGTCAAGAGACCTGAGTTCAAATCCAGCCTCATAGCCTTCCTACCAGTGTGACCCTGGGCAAGTCACTTACCCTGAATACTTCAGTTTCCTCAATTATAAAATAAGGTTAATAACAGCATCTACC